CAGGAAGCCGTTTGACAACAGTTCAAATAATAATTATCGCTGGACGTTGCCAGTGGCAACCCACGGCCTTGCCGGCAGTTTCCGGTTTACGACGTCATGTCGAAACGCGCGGATCGATAACTTTTGAGTGGACGCTTCAAACAAGTTGTACACAACACATGACCAACAAATGACAAACACACCACACAACTTTGAAGTGGACACACCAAGCAAGTTGTACACTATCTTCTGGTGGTGACACACTCCACTATCTCCAGTAGGGGACAGTTATGCTAGGTGTGCCGCTACTGATTCACAACACACCCCATAACACACCACAACGAAAAACACAACATACAACACACCTACGTGAACAAGACTAGATACATTACCACATTCTACAATTGTTGTCCCTAATATCATTTGTTTTCACCTTAAGCATATCGCAGGTGATATTTTATCTTAGTTTAAGCACTTCAGTCTTCTGTCCTGCCTACAATTGTTGTCCCTAATATCGTTTGTTTTCACCTGAAGCATATCCCAGGTGATATTTTATCTTAGTTTAAGCACTTCAGTCTTCTGTCCTGCCTACAATTGTTGTCCCTAATATCGTTTGTTTTCACCTGAAGCATATCCCAGGTGATATTTTGTCTTAGTTTAAGCACTTCAGTCCTCTGTCCTGCCTACAATTGAACCTGCCCACGTGACTAGCACACGTGATCCCCGTGTGAACTACATCAGTGAGGTGAGTACTAAGTACCCCAGGGTGGGGGCGTCAAATGCCCCGCTTCATTACGGCAAACTCACCCACAGCTCCAGGCGGGGCAATTTTCATCTGATCTCAAAGTTGGTGGAGTCAAGTCTTGGTGTCAGTTAGCGATTGGTAATTAGGGGTTGCTACCATTCAGTTCAACCTTAGGCTGGCTGTTTGATGGGCCGCAGCAACCAGGAAATGTGACAACCACATAGGGTTGTTGGTTGCGGGGTTGTAACCGGCAACCAGATGTAACCAGCAACAAGAAATGTAACCAGCAACCAGAAATGTAACCGGCAACCAGAAATGTAACCAGCAACCACAAATGTAACCAGCAACCAGAAATGTAACAAGCAACCAGAAATGTAACCAGCAACCACAAATGTAACCAGCAACCAGAAATGTAACCAGCAACCAGAAATGTAACCAGCAACCAGAAATGTAACCAGCAACCAGAAATGTAACCAGCAACCAGAAATGTAACCAGCAACCACAAATGTAACCAGCAACCAGAAATGTAACCAGCAACCAGAAATGTAATCAGTAACCAGAAATGTAACCAGCAACCAGAAATGTAACCAGCAACCAGAAATGTAACCAGCAACCAGAAATATAACCAGTACAGCCTTGATAGGCCTGACCATAAAGCAAACGTGAGGACATGTACAAATGACAAGTGGTTTGAGGACAGGTACAAATGACAAGAGGTGTGAGGACAGGTACAAATGACAAGAGGTGTGAGGACAGGTACAAATGACAAGAGGTGTGAGGACAGGTACAAATGACAAGAGGTGTGAGGACAGGTACAAATGGCAAGAGGTGTGAGGACAGGTACAAATGGCAAGAGGTGTGAGGACAGGTACAAATGGCAAGAGGTGTGAGGACAGGTACAAATGACAAGAGGTGTGAGGACAGGTACAAATGGCAAGAGGTGTGAGGACAGGTACAAATGGCAAGAGGTGTGAGGACAGGTACAAATGGCAAGAGGTGTGAGGACAGGTACAAATGGCAAGAGGTGTGAGGACAGGTACAAATGGCAAGAGGTGTGAGGACAGGTACAAATGGCAAGAGGTGTGAGGACAGGTACAAATGGCAAGAGGTGTGAGGACAGGTACAAATGACAAGAGGTGTGAGGACAGGTACAAATGGCAAGAGGTGTGAGGACAGGTACAAATGGCAAGAGGTGTGAGGACAGGTACAAATGGCAAGAGGTGTGAGGACAGGTACAAATGACAGAAGGTTGAGGACAGGTACAAATGACACAAGGACGTTTAGAAATATGAGGTACGGCTATATGAAGTGTGACGTGTTTAGAGAATATGGTGAATGAATAACGATGACATGTAGCGGTGGTGACATGTCGAGGTGGTGACATGTCCTGGTGGTGACATGTCGAGGTGGTGACATGTCCTGGTGGTGACATGTCCTGGTGGTGACATGTCGAGGTGGTGACATGTCGAGTTGGTGACATGTAGCGGTGATGACATGTCGAGGAGGTGACATGTCAAAGTGGTGACATGTCCTGGTGGTGACATGTCGAGGTGGTGACATGTTCTGGTGGTGACATGTCGAGGTGGTGACATGTCCTGGTGGTGACATGACTTGGTGGTGACATGTCAAGGTGGTGACATGTCGAGGTGGTGACATGTTCTGGTGGTGACATGTCGAGGTGGTGACATGTCCTGGTGGTGACATGACTTGGTGGTGACATGTCAAGGTGGTGACATGTCGAGGTGGTGACATGTCAAGATGGTGACATGTCAAGGTGGTGACATGTCGAGGTGGTGACATGTCGAGGTGGTGACATGTCCTGGTGGTGACATGACTTGGTGGTGACATGTCAAGGTGGTGACATGTCGAGGTGGTGACATGTCGAGGTGGTGACATAACGGCGGCCCATCAATACAACAAATATGCAAGTTGAATGATTGGAGTGCCACAATCCTTTAGCCTCAAGTTGAATGATTGGAGTGCCACAATCCTTTAGCCTCAAGTTGAATGATTGGAGTGCCACAATCCTTTAGCCTCAAGTTGAATGATTGGAGTGCCACAATCCTTTAGCCTCAAGTTGAATGATTGGAGTGCCACAATCCTTTAGCCTCAAGTTGAATAATTGGAGTGCCACAATCCTTTAGACTCAAGTTGAATGATTGGAGTGCCACAATCCTTTAGCCTCAAGTTGAATGATTGGAGTGCCACAATCCTTTAGCCTCAAGTTGAATGATTGGGTTACCACAATGTTTTAACAAGCGGCGTGTATCTCAAGTGTTATGCTACCAACAACATTGCTAATCTACAAATATACTTACAAATTGTAGTTCCTATTTACTTACAACTTTGTAAATCTACAAATATACTTACAAATTGTAGTTCCTATTTACTTACAATTTTGTAAATCTACAAATATACTTACAAATTGTAGTTCCTATTTACTTACAACTTTGTAAATCTACAAATATACTTACAAATTGTAGTTCCTATTTACTTACAACTTTGTAAATCTACAAATATACTTACAAATTGTAGTTCCTATTTACTTACAACTTTGTAAATCTACAAATATACTTACAAATTGTAGTTCCTATTTACTTACAACTTTGTAATCAGCAAACATTTACACAACTTACCTCATATCATACATACACACTAGCCAAAGCCAACATAACTAGTTAAAAAAACAAAAAGTGATTCCTGCCTACTTATATACTGATTTCCCAACCTGTCAACTCAATAGGAGGTATGTGGCCTTTGTGGATAAGATATAATTAGATTTAATTGAAAACACGCTCATTAAAAAGGCAGGGAGAAACGAAAAACAAATTGACACAAAAACTAAGATGACAGAATGATAATTAAAATTTTCTTGAGTCCACAGAAACAACAAACATAATGATTGGTCATGTCCTAATTACATGGGACGTCTGGTGCAGCTAATTAGTTTATTCAGCTTCCCTGTGCTGTTGACATATGAATTCTCACCCCCCCCCCCCCCCCCCCCCGTGTGAAGATCGTTCTGACAACTCACTAACGTCACGGTTAACTACAAAACCTAGTCACGCATCGCTGGAGCGAGTTCAAGTTTTCCCCGTCAATTTGTCACAATTTGTCGTCAAATCAAAACAATGTTTGCCTTGACCTTACAGTACCAACTTGAGTTGATTGTGTAGCTTAAACATTGCTTTCGAGAATCTTCGTGTCACGCTTCACACAAATCTTGTAGTTAGATGGGGGTGACGCCAAGCAACCGTGACGAGAAAGTTGGGGAGAACATAGATTTCTTCCACCTGCCAAGTTTGGCTTATCAATGTTTTCTTGAAGATGAATGAAACAGCGCTGGACACAGTCCAATAGGTAAAGATAATCTTAGAGCTTATATTGTCTAACGAGGCACCAAGTACCAGGACTATAATTAGCACGGCTGACTGCACGAGGCACCAGTAACCGTATCTAATTATAGCTCCTGTGGTGGTGAGTCGACCGTGACAGAAGATTCATGCGCGACAACCGGCAACAAAACACAGCTAGACCGGCCTTAACATTGATCTCAATCAAATATGAAGTCACTGTTAAAATATTTTAGATTTTTAATGGCTTAATCCATAATTACATTGTTTTTAGAAAGTGGCTGCGAATTTATATAAAAAGAAAGTTAGAAACTCATGCATGTACGCACTGAACTTTATTTTTTAACGCGTTGATTTGTTTCACCATAGCCACGAACCATTTTTTAACGCGTTGATTTGTTTCACCATAGCCACGAACAATTTTATAACGCGTTGATTTGTTTCACCATAGCCACGAACCCTTTTTTAACGCGTTGATGTGTTTCACCATAGCCACGAACCCTTAGAGTGTTTTAATGTTTGTTTTACACATTCTTTTGAAACTGACCGTTTTATTCTTGCGCGAAGAAAAAAGTTCCAGGCATTTGTGCTATGTCTTCATCAACCTGCTGCTAGGGGGCGGAGCCAGGCCCGGGGGTGGGGCCGTTGACTTTCTTGTCGTGTTGCTTGTGGTCAAAGATAACTCTCTGCCGTCTCTTAGAGTTGTGTATCTTTGCTTCATACACATTTTGAACAAGAAGTACATTTTCGTTGCGGTTTTCAACATTTTAATTACAGGAATCTAAAAGTACGCAGTTAAAATCTTAATTAGTATTTTGGCGCAATAAATCTTACTATACTATTCTGTTGTTCAGACTGTTGGACTCAGTCAGGGATCAGTCAGGGATCAGTCAGTGTCACGTGTCATGGGTTTAACTGACGTGATGGAAATTGTCACCTCGACCATTCCCAGCAACCTCTCGGTCATTCTGACCCAGAAGGCCCCACCCCGGGACAAAATTCTGAACGACGACATGGCCAAAATATTTTTCGTGGTGGTCAAGTGCGCCATGTACGAGGTGAGCAGCGTGATCGGCATCGTGACGAACGGTCTCTGTCTCGTCGTCTTCCGGAAGTTGGGTTGTGGCGAGACGGTCAACGTGACCCTGATCGGGTTGACCATCTCCGACCTGGCCAGCGTGGTTGTCCTCTTCTGGATGGGCATCTGCTTCAACCCGCTCTTCACCTACTCCGACGTCTACTTCGACACGCTCTCCGTCGTGTACCTGAGTGGGGGCTGGGTCAAGCTCTACCTGACGCGGGTCTCTAGCTGGATCACGGCCTTCGTCACGCTTGAGCGCTGCCTGTGTATCGCCATACCCCTCAAGATCAAGGCCATCATGACGCCCAAGAGAGCCGCCATCTTTATCTGCGTCTCCTTCTTCCTGCTGGGCATGACGATGCCGCCCGTCTACTACACCACACGCCTCGAGTGGCTCTGGTACCCGGACCGGAACAAGACCCTCCTCGGCATGGCCTTCACCCCGGAGCGCGAGTTCATCTACAACAGCGTCATCGCCATCAACCTTGTCCTGACCTTCGCCGCCTTCGCCGTCATCATCGCGTGCACGTCCATCCTGGTTCTGAACCTGGACAAGAAGGCCGAGTGGCGCAAGAAGTCCGTGTCTGCGGACAAGCAGAGCTCCATGTCCAGCAAGGACCAGAAGGTCTCCCAGATGATCGTGCTGATCGCCGCCCTCTTCGTGGCCAGCTTCTTCCCCGGCACCGTCCTGTTCGTCACCATGCTCATCGTGCCGGAGTTCAACCGCGGCAAGCTCTACAACAACCTCTTCACCACCGTCTTCGCCTTCTCCCACATCCTGGAGGCCGCCAACGCCTCCATCAACCTGTTCGTCTATCTCAAGATGAGCACCAAATTTAGAACCGTTTTCTACGAGACTTTTGCTTTCAAGAAAAAGAAATGAGGTCAACTCGAGCATTAGCTCAACGCAATCATTTCAATCTAAAGTAGATCATTAGCTTCTCGTTAATTATTTTAATTTATACTCTGAAGATTAGCTACACCACTTGCGAATCAGAAGAGAATAAATGTTACAATACATTTTTTATCACAACATGAAACAATGAAACAACCGTTAAGATTTGTGAAGTTTTTAAGAAGTGAGGTTTGTCTCTTCATTTTTTTGTTTGCTAATCAATTTACTTTTAAAAGATTCTCTCCGTGACCTATTGTGTTACTGTAGCTTGTGACCTCTTGACCTTTTGTGTTGCTCTTGCTTAGCCCGTCAAAACTTTGATGTCTACTACCTGCTCTTGGTGGTCGAGTGGTTAGCGTTAACATAGAACTTAGTTTGATCCGGTTCTAGCTTTGTGTTTCAAATCTTGAAAACTTTTTCTCATTCTTGTCAGATTAACACATGTCGTGCAAAGTAAAAAAATTATCTAGGCATCCAATGAAGTCACATTTATTGCCATATTGCATTGTATTTAAAGTCTTGACCGATGTGCCAACTTTGAAACGAATCGGTCAGTTAGAAGTGCTCGAAATTCGCTAGCCCGTTTCGATCTATAACGGAAGACAAAAGCAAGATAGACAGAGGAAGCAAGTTAAATAAAAGCTTGTAAAATTAGACATCTTATTGACATGCTGCATTTTACAACGTGTGGCATTTATATGTGGCATTTGTGTGTGGCATTTGTGTGCAATATTGCCGGCTCATGACGACAAGCACTAGCCAGATAAGGTGAATGCAGCTTTAAAAAAAAAGAATTTGTGCATTAAAAAACCGGCACAATGTTTTTTTCTAATTTAAATACATATGTTCTAAAAATAGATGTTCAAATCTTCTCATTTTCGAATGTGTCTGGTAATTTTAATTCGACGTTTGTCAAACATGTTCCATCTTTTTTGTCCAATCTTCGCTATCAACATCGTGCATTGTCTTGGTCTCGCCTAGCCAGGCTAGCCTAAGTCACGCCTAGCCAGGCTAACCTAAGTCACGCCTACCCAAGCTAGCCTAAGTCACGCCAGGCTAGCCTAAGTCACGCCAGGCTAGCCTAAGTCACGCCAGGCTAGCCTAAGTCACGCCAGGCTAGCCTAAGTCACGCCAGGCTAGCCTAAGTCTCGCCTAGCCAGGCTAGCCTAAGTCACGCCTAGCCAGGCTAGCCTAAGTCACGCCAGGCTAGCCTAAGTCTCGCCTAGCCAGGCTAGCCTAAGTCACGCCTAGCCAGGCTAACCTAAGTCACGCCTACCCAAGCTAGCCTAAGTCACGTCAGGCTAGCCTAAGTCACGCCAGGCTAGCCTAAGTCTCGCCTAGCCAGGCTAGCCTAAGTCACGCCTAGCCAGGCTAGCCTAAGTCACGCCAGGCTAGCCTAAGTCTCGCCTAGCCAGGCTAGCCTAAGTCACGCCTAGCCAGGCTAACCTAAGTCACGCCTACCCAAGCTAGCCTAAGTCTCGCCTAGCCAGGCTAGCCTAAGTCACGCCTAGCCAGGCTAGCCTAAGTCACGCCTAGCCAGGCCAACCATGCTTTAAAAATCCCACCCCTCTCCTTTGACTGTTGAACATCCTACTTAGAATTAGAACCGAGCTAATCAAATCTCTAGTTTCGTATTTCCCCCAAACACACAGATATGACGCACGCTATTTCCTGAGTTTTCCTCGTCCAACTGTATCAGTTTAAGAATTGTATTAAACAGTTCCGTCTGATCATTGATTACATCTCTCCACTCATTACATCTCTCCACTCATTACATATCTCCAGTGATTACATCTCTCTTTTATTTGTCTCTCACGGCTGAATGGATTAACCGATTAAAAAAACGAATCCCACGCGAGTCCTGTATCGTTAAACGATTCACAAAATCGCCATTTTTTGGTCAGAAATCAATCACAGATCATCGCATTAAATCTGACTCACGTACACGTTTACAGAATGCTCCCGAACGAAATCGCATGTTGTTTCAGCTCATAAGGTGGCTCTAGCACACTGGGATGGGGGGGGGGTTCAGGGCCGCTAATGAATGGACCGATGAAACAGATTACATAACGGCTGGACGCTGGGGGCTAAATGCATAATTAATTAACAAAAGGTCGATATGCCAGTGGAAAGAACTTGTTACAGTGGGGGTAACGTTCACGAGGGAGATGACTCCATCAGCTCTTGTCGTGAACGACGGGGTTACTGTTCTTACAGGCCAGCTGATTTCTGGCTGGCTTCAGGTAAAAACAAATTTCAAACTTTGTGAAATGAGAAAAAATGGCTTTAACAGCCAAACTTTTGGCTTCTTATAATGTTTTCTACCCAGCTTTTGTGTTCTTAAACATTTCCAGATTTTTTAAATAAAATTATTGTTTGTAAAATATGATGATGATAACCAGACAAGATTGCATTGGTTCAAACTGTTTGAATGTACATCAGATTCAAACTTACAAACATGGCATGTTGTAATCAAACACACACACACACACACATCCTCCCGCACAGATTGAAGCGCTCTACGTTGTGCGTGTGTGTGTTTGTCAGTTTGTATGTTTGTGTTATTTGTTCCAGGGTTTGTGTGTTAAGGTAGGGTAGGAGTTATGTATCGTAAGTGCGCTAATAAACTCTAGTCGCTAATTCGGCGTTTCTAAATCACATGAGTATAGAGGAAGTATTGTAATCCTGCACACAAATCACATGAGTATAGAGGAAGTATTGTAATCGTGCACACAAATCACATGAGTATAGAGGAAGTATTGTAATCGTGCACACAAATCACATGAGTATAGAGGAAGTATTGTAATCGTGCACACAAATCACATGAGTATAGAGGAAGTATTGTAATCGTGCACACAAATCACATGAGTATAGAGGAAGTATTGTAATCGTGCACACAAATCACGTGAGTATAGAGAAAGTATTGTAATCGTGCAAAAAAAATCGAATTCGAGAATTTCATAAATCTGGACGTTTTACACTAGCCTGAGTCGGGAAAACTTAATTTGTGTCCGTATGTGTGTGTGTGTCTGTGTGTGTGTGTCTGTGTGTCAGCCTGTCTTTGAACATATAAGAAATGAGCTATTTCATTCAAATTTCATTTAGATCTATAGATCTACTTAACAAGACGTAGCCTACGTTATGAAATGTATACAATTTTCTAGGCCGAAACTAAAAATAAAAATTAGTTTAAAAAACAACAAAAATACTATTGACTAGCCGTGTTTTTAACGGAAACATTTAAGTCAGTTAATCGGTGTTGGTATTTTATATGGTGTTATGTTGGCTAATAATGTATATACTTTTGTTCTAATTTTTCTCATTGGTAGCCTATATTTGTTAAACGAGTGTGTCCAATTTTTAACTATTTTGTTATTTCTTTACTCTTTTTTTTATTAATATCGTTCAAAGTGTAGTAAAGCACATTGCGTTTTGACCAATAACTATTTTATGAAATACATTTAGGCCTATGATTTTTTTTTAAAATATAGGCCTTAAGTACTAATGTTCTGCACTATTGAACACCAATTATTTGCTGTTCATTTGTTGCGCAACTACTTTTTTCTATGAGTTTTTTTTAAGTATTTGAAAATTTAGTTTTTTTAAAATGTCTATATCCCGACTAGATCAGTATTATCTAAGAATATTCGAGAAAGTTTAGGGGAGATCACTCCCGCTTTTAAAAAAAAATTACTTTGATATATATTAAAAAATATATTCAAGAATTAGAAGTGAAACAAAATCCGCGTGGTGAAGATGCCTCGGCCACATACTTTCTCTCATACCTACCCCAAGTTTGAGATTTACCCACCGTTCTGGGTTGTCGTCAAGACTTTGATAAAATTTTGTTCTCCTTCTTGTCCCCACATTTGTTTTCTCGGACATCCGCAATGTGGCTGGTGTTGAACCGTTTAGTGCCGCGTCTATTTTTAGAACAGGGCAGGATAAACAATTGGACGCCGCGCTTTGTCCCATAGGATCGATTGGTCAAACCCTGAGCCATTGATAGCCCAGTACTTTGGTGTAAGGGGACTGGTGTAAGGTGTAAGGGCCGCTGGTGTAAGTGCCACTGGTGTAAGGACGGCTAGTTAAGGCATGTGTGGTCAGTGTGATAGTGTGGTAGTTTGGTAAATATGGTGGATGTAGTTGTGTGATAGCGTGGTCAATGTGGTAGTGTGGTGGTGTGGTCGACAGCTGTGGACAGCCGTATGTGGAGAACCGCTTGTCTCGGCTTGAAGTAATGTGGAGTTGATTCTATCACAGGTGGAGCTACCACCTTACAGGTAGAGCTACCACCTTACAGGTAGAGCTACCACCTTACAGGTAGAGCTACCACCTTACAGGTAGAGCTACCACCTTACAGCTAGAGCTAGCACCTTACAGATAGAGCTACCACTTTACAGGTAGAGCTAGCACCTTACAGGTAGAGCTAGCACCTTACAGATAGAGCTACCACTTTACAGGTAGAGCTAGCACCTTACAGGTAGAGCTACCACCTTACAGGTAGAGCTACCACCTTACAGATAGAGCTACCACTTTACAGGTAGAGCTAGCACCTTACAGATAGAGCTACCACTTTACAGGTAGAGCTAGCACCTTACAGGTAGAGCTAGCACCTTACAGGTAGAGCTAGCACCTTACAGGTAGAGCTAGCACCTTACAGGTAGAGCTAGCACCTTACAGGTAGAGCTAGCACCTTACAGGTAGAGCTACCACCTTACAGGTAGATCTACCACCTTAAGAGCTAGCACCTTACAGGTAGAGCTACCACCTTACAGGTAGAGCTACCACCTTACAGGTAGAGCTACCACCTTACAGATAGAGCTACCACTTTACAGGTAGAGCTAGCACCTTACAGATAGAGCTACCACTTTACAGGTAGAGCTAGCACCTTACAGGTAGAGCTAGCACCTTACAGGTAGAGCTAGCACCTTACAGGTAGAGCTAGCACCTTACAGGTAGAGCTAGCACCTTACAGGTAGAGCTAG